GTTGAGTGTTAGAGAATAAGAGAACAATAAAAGAACAAGAATTAAGAAGACAGAAGATAATGATTGGCATAAATTTTTGAAAAGCAAAGATGACTGGAAATCAAGTAGACGGAAGAGAATTCCACAAACGAGAGGTGTGAGAGAAGATAATGTTAACGTAGAACTTACGGTTACGCCTATCCATTTCAAGTGTAAAATTATGAGACCTAAGCGCCAATCTAGTACTGCGCTTTAAATTATAAATACTACTAACCATGTAGCAAAATTCGTCAGAAGGGAATCTTCAGTGTGCGTCCGTCGCTACACAAGGTCGAGGTTTGAAAGGGATTTAACTGCAATACATTTTGGTAACGCCTCAGGCGCCGGAAAATGATCTCAGCTCTTTCCCGAAACAGGGGTACTGCCCACCCCGGAGAGGGGGCTTCAGCTGATATGATTTTGAAAGTGCCCAGCCGAAATCAGTTAAGTATATGAAAGCATTTATAGCAAAGCATAGGGAAGCTACGTTACGGCATCGGGAAAGTGACTGAAGCCGAGACGCTAGGTCAGGACCAATAATGTTGCAGATTCTTCTTTGGATTTTATCACGAATCTCTAAATATATAGCACGGGCATCCGACCAAATATGACAGCAATATTCAAAGCGAGAACAAATGGTAGGCTTATAAATATGTCAGATATACAGAGTGTTTCAAAAAATTTGATATCATTTCGCAATCTAATAACTTTGTTAGATCTCCTTCAAATGACTTCAAATTTTAATAGCATCTTTATGTTTAATGTTTGTTTTATGTTTTTATGTCTTTATGTCTTTGTGTTTTTCTTATTTGTATTTTTATGTTCTTTAATCTTTAATCTTTTTCTTTACAGGTATAAAAATGCTATTTACTAGAAGAGAAAAGGCGTTTTGTGTGTTCACATAATCCACATGCATTTGAATTTCTCATTCAAATTTGGAAAAATAAATCTTATGATCTTCAACATTAATACTTTTTAATTTCATTTGCCTTAATCATGTACTTTCTATGATATTTACATCTCAAAGGATATCCAATTTTTTGAAACACCCTGTAGTGTAGGAACTGACATTCCTAGCATAGGACCGAGATACTTGTTTAATATCATCTTTCCACTTTACAAAAATTCAGTCCAAGTAGGTGGAGGTTAGCATCAGTTATTCTGATGGAAGGTAAAAAGGACTCCTTCATACGATTATAAGCAACCCGCTGGATTTGTCATATTCACTTCCGCACAAATACCCTTGGGAAGTTATGAATCCACCTCATAAACTACACTTCTTAGCTCATCCTTTTACGCTCACACAACAACCTCAATCAGTAACCCTCTATCTTGAGTGGCTCTTATGTCTTATAATTGTTGTGGATTCTGAAATGAAATTCGGTCTCCAATGAATGACAAACGCAAGAAATAAAAGATAAGAAATTAAATGTATTTACACAATGCTACAATGGGTAATTCTGTTAGTAAATCCGGTAAGTCGCAATTATAATATATATATATATATATATATATATATATATATATTATATTATAATAATATTTTTTGTTTAAAATATGATTCCTTCTACATAAGAGTCCTCATGTTCAAAAAACGAGAGCCGAAATATCCAAATAATTATTAAAATTAAGTTGGATTGTGGTGTTTAGTCCCGTTTCATCTTCAAGCGAAATTTTAGGAATAAACTTTCTGTCGGTTTACGTGTATTTTTAGGCCCGGTCCGTTACAGAATTCGTTATTGTGGGAGTGGCTAGACTATTTTCCTTCATTAAGTGGTCAGAGAGGTAATTTTATCAATAGATTCATCATCTTCTAAGAGTTGGATATTTCGGCTCTCGTTTTTGAAACATGAGAACTCTTATGTAGCGAAGGAATCATATTTTTAAACAAAAAATATTATTATAATATAAGCTCTACTTCTGTATGGAGCACTGTCTTAAAAATAAAAACAAAAATACTAAGGAACCCCGGATTATGCACCCAACGTGTTCTTTTCTATTTTCTGCATACCTGCGCACTTATATATATATATATATATATATATATATATATATATATATATATATATATATATATATATATATATATATATACAGTCTCGAAGTAGGACTTCCTTAGAGTCTACCTGCTTGTAACTGACTTCTACAAGCGGTTACCTCACACTATTACTCTACCTCAAACTCAATCACAATCTCAGCTCTCACTCACTCTATATATATTCTGACTGACTTTGGGTATTTAATGGCAGCAGTCCCAGTAACACTCTGGTCGAGTCCATTTATATGAAAAAGGGGCGGACCCCATAACAATATTGGGTGAACAATTAGTAAAAAAAATTAACTTCATAGATACGATCTTCCAAAAACATTTTTATCATTCTCTACAAATATTTTCAATAAGTGCCTTTTACAGACTTCAAGAAAATTTAATTTATTTTTCTTTTAAAATAATTAAAGGAATGGTTCGGGATTATAATTGATGAATGAAAACTTCTCGGCCAAGATCTACCAATTTATAGCTTCTCTCTGAATAAACTTTCTAGCGTCGTTCTGATGACATACTATACGTGTACTATTGGAGTACACAGCGACACAGCGACACAGCATCACCGTGCTATGTGTTGCTGTGGTGATTTACATAGCAAGTCCGTTTTTTTTTTTTTACGAGGCAATGTTGCCAGCCCCATGTCCAACCCGATTTGGAATTCAGAATTGTCTTTCTCCTACACTATTATGTCCACTTCACTATTTTCACCATCTATGAAATAGACTGCTGGTTTTCAAGGCTCTGTTAGCAACCCGTCAAGGGGAATGAAAAATCTGAATTCAAAACATTGATGAGACAGAGAGAAACAACTTCACTATTTTCGCCATCTATAGGATAGATTGCAGAGAAGCCCAGGTTTCCTAGCCTCTGGTGCCAACCAGTGAATGAGAATGAAAAATCTGAATTCAAAACATAGAAGAGGCAAGAAGAAAACGCTTCGCTATTTCCTAAAGTACGCATGCCAATTTATAGATAAGAAAAAAGAGGAAGCTGTGGAATATATTGATCTTTTACGTCCGGAACAAACATGGCATTTTCTTAATTGAGGGTAGTTCTTTGATTTGCGTCAAGGAGTTTAGTGTAGCATATATTACATTCTCGTTCAGGGAGTTTCGCTTCTTAGCCGCGATTCTTATGTTGCTGGTAGAGATGACAACAAATTAATTATCAGCCAGGTGCTACTGCCATCGAATTGATGTAGTTGCCGATGAGCGGCCGATATTGACTAAGTCGTTTATTTCAAGTGAAATGCACGTAGAAACGACAAAAAAATGCGTTAGTTTCGAATGAAACTATCCCATCGATTACCTTGGGAGTGATTAAAGGAAAACGGGGAAAATAGTTGACCGGCCAACGGAAATATATCTAGGTCTGTTTTTGTTGCATACTTAGACGGAAATCACACATCAAAGTGACTAACATAAACAATTTAATGTAAATGATTTTCTGAGCTTCATTTCGATTATGTCGAACTTCTCCCGCACCATATGTTTCTATTTGATGATAAATCGTCTATCTGAGCGTGGAAATACCGAAAACTACTTTTGAAACTTTCGGCTGTTCATCATAACGTCTCGAAGTATTTCTGTTTTTTTATTTATTTTTTTTAATTCCATATGAATTTTCCCGTTTATTAAATAAAAGGGTATAAAGTGCCGTAAATGATATGTCTGATGTAATGACTAGCAACGAGGACGGAGAAATCGGTGAGCCGAGTTTGAATTCCAGTCGAGCTTGTTACGTTCACTTTCGCGCAAATAACATTGCGAAAGACGCAACACTTAACTCGAGTCAGCCGTGAGGGTAATATTCGGCACTCAGCTCGACAAGACACTGCAAAAGCATTCTCTTCTTCCTGCTTTGACAATTACCTAGGACTATTTATTATGAATGGATCGGTAAATTCATGATAGTAAGAAGGATAACTGGCCTTTAGCACAACAGAAGGCATGAATATATATGTCCACATCCTAGCTATGGGTTAAATAGTAGTACAGGCTGAGCTTTTCAGACTTGAGTTGCAACCGGTGTAGAAGAATATCAACTCTGAATTCAAGATCATATATAGCCTTAGCACATACAATATAGCTATCGACAAGATAATGGAATTCCCAATGACTATAATCTGCACTTCGTCGATGTATCAATAATAATAATAATAATATACTGTAAAAAGTGCTAATTTTCTTCCATCAATGAATGTTGGTATTGTAGTAAAAAATAAAATTATGACGCATTTAATAAAAGTTAGGACGTCCTGGGTATGACGATAAACTACATCCAGCAGCATGGCCTCTGATCCTGAGGTTCTGAGGAGTGTGGAACTCCCTCTTAATTACTGTTGTTCTCAGGTTTACCCTGACCCGAGTTGTTAGCACCTGTTAGCGTACTACCTATGGGGAAGTGGTTAACCTCCGAACTGTGGTCAGAAGACAATAAAAGTATAAAAATAGATTTTTTATAGTAAAAATACCAGCAATAGATTTTTGAAAAGAAAATACATTGGACTCTCAACAAAAACCCTATTTACAAAAATACGTCAATGAAACCTGATATACAAACTGATTCCTTACAAATACAAAGAAAGAAATAAAGAAAGAACGAAATAAAGAAAGAAAGAAAGAAAGAAAGAAAGAAAGAAAGAAAGAAAGAATGAATGAATGAATGAATGAAAAAAGAAAGAATGATATAAAAGAGGAAAGTGTGAATATGACGGAGAGAAATGTGAATGTGTAAGTAATCCTAATATTAATAAAATGAAAGATAGATACATAGATACATATAGGGAGAGAGAGAGAGAGACTAAGTAAGCACATGTAAGAAAGAAAGAAAGAAAGAAAGAAAGAAAGAACGAGTGATATAAAGGAGGAGAGTGTGTATATGAGAGCGAGGAATGCGAATGCGTAAGCATAAATGTAAGAATAATAACCTAATATTAATCAAATGAAAGATAGATACATAGATACATGGAGGGAGAGAGAGAGAGAGAGACTAAGTAAGCACATGTAAGAAAGAAAGAAAGAAAGAAAGAAAGTGTGATATAAATGTGGAGAGTATGTATTTGAAAGAGAGAAATGCAAACGTGTGAGCATAAGTGTATGAATAATAATCTCATATTAATCAAATGAAAGATAGATAGATACACAGAAGAAGAGAGAGAGAGAGATTAAGTAAGCACTTGTAAGAAAAAAAGAGAAAAATAAAGAAAGAAAGAACGAGTAATATAAAGGTGGAAAGTATATATGTGAAAGAGAGGAATGCGAATGTGTAAGCATAAGTGTAGGAAAAAACACCTAATATTAATCAAATGAAAGATAGATACATAGATACGTAAAGGGAAAGAGAGAGAGATTAAGTAAGCACGTGTAAGAAACAAAGGAAAAAAAAGAGTGATATAAAGGTGGAGATTATATATGTGAGAGGGAGAAATGCGAATGTGTAAGTGTATGAATAGGAACATAAAATATTTGATCAATAAATGGATATTTCCCTCCATAAACTTATTGAAGAAATGCGGAGAAAAGCGATTGAATTCATTTTAATAAATTCGTATAACGTTCTGGTTTATTATCACGTCAGATAAAGAGATTGACGGATCTGATTTTTACGGCTTCTGGGTTATTTAAAGCCGAATCATATTTAGGACTATAGGAGGTTGCTTAGAGTGCCCAGTATTTCTAAGCAATCACTGACCAGTCTCGGTGCTGTTTAACCCCAGTGATCGAGCGGGAACCGGTATTTTCAACGCGATATGTCCGTAAGCCCGGAAAAAAAGCGGTAAAAGAAAATAGTCAGACATATATTTTTCAATCATTTCACCCCAAGCAAGGGTGTAAACCCACTAAGATGTAGAGGGTTCCTTAGTGTGAAAGAATATGAGAGAGGAAAAAAACGGCTTTTTACGAAGAGATGGACAAGAAAAGAATAGGAACGAAGAAGACAGAGGATAATGATTGACATGGCATTTAAATTTGTGATGGTCAAACGTGACCGGAAAGAAAGAATCCGAAAGGGAATTCCATAAGCGAGAAGTGCGATAGAAGAAATTGTTGACATAGAACTTACGGTTACATTTAACAATTTCAACTGTAAAAGAATGAGACCTTGTCGCCAATCTAACACTGCGCTTAAATTCATAAAGTATCACAGCGTATTAGAACGATTTCCGTGAGAAGATAGATAGATAGATGGATAGATATGAACAGACCGAAACAGACAGATAGATAGATAGATAGATAGATAGATAGATAGATAGATAGATAGATAGATATGCTGACTAAACATGACACAGGTGTGAAGATAATCGACGTGAACAGAATGGGGTAGCTCGGTAGAAAGAAAGAAAGAAAGAAAGAAAGAAAGAAAGAAAGAAAGAAAGAAGAGATTGTGGAAGTAAATATTAACAAGACAAGGTTAGAAAGAAAGAAAGAAAGAAAGAAAGAAAGAAAGAAAGAAAGAAAGAAAAAGACTGAGGAAGCAAATATTAACAAGAAGACAAGGTTAGAAAGAAAGAAAGAAAGAAAGAAAGAAAGAAGAGATTGTGGAAGCAAATATTAACAAGACAAGGTTAGAAAGAAAGAAAGAAAGAAAGAAAGAAAGAAAGGAAGAAAAAGACTGAGGAAGCAAATATTAACAAAAAGAAAAGGTTAGAAAGAAAGAAAGAAAGAAAGGATTCTAGTAAAGATATTCATTTCGGGGGGGAAGGAAAAATGTGGGTTCTTTTTTTTTTCTCTCTCTCTCCCCATCTCTTTGAATGCCTTCTCCTTATATGTTTCTTTCCCTCTACATCTTCATAAAAACTGACACGTATCCATTAAATCTCATGTCACTTATGGCCTTTTGACGATAATTAACAATAATAAAGGAAATGTCTATTTTAAATAGCACCGCGCCGTCATCAGTTTCCCTTGAAGAATTTACAAGCTTTTATGGTATTTTCATCTGTGTCTGCAAATACAATGTGATTTGAAATAGAAAACATCCCAACTTTGATAGAGTTCAAAATGGTTGGCGCGGTCTTGTGAATTATGGCATTTCCCAATCTGCAACGTCTTTCTCCCAATCAGAACTTTGCAAGACTCTCCCTCCTCTACTTCTATTTCCCAGATAAATTACAAGATGAGATCCATCTATCAGTTCTTACTTTTACAGCTAAGACACGCTGTGACGCTTCCAAGGATTCGAATCACTCTCATTTCCTTCAGTTTTGCATAGAAAGTAAGACAGCATTTTACCCCAGAACTGCAACTTTGTGGGAAAAATCCCTATGAACTCTTCAATCCTGACTTTTTCAAGACTCAATCGTTATCTATCCTCCTTATCCTCATAAGTTTCACCTCCTAACACCTTTTCTCACTCCTCTACTTTTATTTCCTAGGCAAATTACAAGGGGAGCTCCACCTATCAGTTCTTACCTTTACATCTAAGACACGCTGTGACGCTTCCAAGGAGTCGAATCGCTCTAATTTCCTTCAGCTTTGCACAGAAAGTAAGACAGCATTTTACCCCAGAACTGCAACAAAAATCCCTATGAACCTTTCAATCCTGACCTTTTCAAGAGTCAATTGTTATCTCTCCTCCTTATTTTCATAATCTTCACCTCCTACCACCTTCTCTCCTACTCACAGCACATACATTATTACCATTTCGACTGATTTAAGCATTTCGTGAGCGGCTGTAATTTAGTATTAAAACTGCGTCAGACTAAGCAGGGTCGGATTATCCTGGTGTAGCATATTTTATATGGAAGCCCAAAATGAAATATTATGAAATGGATTAAGTCCGACAATTATTTTAATATATTTTCTGTTTATACGTTATTATTGTTGATATAATTTATTTAAGCAAATGCTCTGTTTTTTTTTTTAATTAAACAGTATTAATTGCATTTACCGGCCTGAATGTTCGAGAAATTTCGTAGAAAATGTGTCCTCAAACTGGAATCGAACCTGTATTCCTCTACAGAAACTGTCATTTGATCTGACGTGTCATACCATTTAGCTACAGAGAAACGTCTGGTAAGCAAAGTCCGAATTACTGTTTATAAACACACAATCTTCGACGATTTTTCTCGATCGATCATTTCTGCTCACGAAACGTATCTTAACGTAGACAATGACAACATATAATGAACTGGATTAAGGTCGACAAATATTTAATATATTTTTCTGTTTATACCTTATTTTTATAGATACAATTCATTTAAGTAAATGCTCTGTATTTTAAATTAAACAGTATTAATTACATTTACCGGCCTGAATATTCGAGAACTTTTGTAGAAAATATGCGTTCTCCGACAGCAGGTCAGATCAAATAAGAGTTTCCGTACAGGAATCCAGGTTCGATTCCTGTCAGAGAATACATATTTTGGTAAATGTGTCAGTTAGAATGAAATATCAGTGTTACTTTAATTTTTACGTAATTTAAACGACAATTTATCCATCACACTTTGTATATGGTACGATACTAATGGGATATACAGTGATGTTCGATAAAAGTGACTCACCTGATTATTTTTATTAAAGATATTTTTTGTCTATTGTTTTTGGGGTTAAAATAATTTTTAATCTTACTAATATAAAGACCCTTTCCCGACCACCTAATAAAAAAGTTTATTCACCCTAAGGTATTCTGTTGATAATTATAAATTTGGATATAAATGAGATTCAGGAAAAAACTCTGTGCAAAAAAAGTGACTCAGATATTGCATTCTAATGATTAAACTAGTAAATTTAAAGAGCTTTTGACAAAATATTGAAAACTATTTTACAATACACTCAAAACAATATTCTAGAGAATTCTAGAACAGTTTAAATTAAATCTAGAGTATTCCAGAATATTCCAGAAAGCTTCATACAGTATAAAACAGCTTGAAATAGCTACTCAAGTCACTAACCAGATGAAAGGGTACAAACACGCATCAGAACCACTTAAGGCATCTATTATTGCCCTCTGAAAAGCAGGCAAGTCTACGAGAGAAATTGTAGAAATTGCTATAACCTCGCAATCAACTGTCTCTCGAGTGCTTAGGGCACATAATGATGCCACTCCTGCTCCAAGGAAGGAAGCAAGAGGACGAAAGAAAAAGATTGATGATAGAACTGACAGGGTAATCAAGAGAGAAGTTTCGACGAATAGGACTATAACTAGCCAAGAAATTGCAGCCAGTATAGGCGAAGAGCAAGGTGTTAGTCTTGCCTCTTCAACAGTCCGCTGGTGGCTGTTAAAACAAGGCTACAAATCATGTACACGAAAGTTTAAGCCGCTAATAATCAAAGCCAACAAAGCCAAGAGACTTGAATGGGCTCACTATTACAAAAATTTCACCGTAGAAGACATGAAGAATATTCTCTTCTCCGATGAAACGAAAGTTGAGCTAAATTCAAAGGATAAGGTAAGTCACTTTTATCGAACAGCACTGTATGCTATATACGATTTGCAGGTCGGGATCACTAGAATCAAGCAAACACGGAAGTTTAAATATCTGGGAAGCGTCTTGACAGAGGACGATAAGTGCGACACTGAGATCCGTAGACGTATTGGGATGGCCAAGGACGCATTCCAAAAGCTGGGCAGAATATTGCGAGACAGGAGGATTTTTTTGATAACAAAGAAAAGAATACTGAGCTGTTACGTGACATCTGTTCTTCTTTATGGCAGCGAATGTTGGCAAGCAACGATGAGGTCTTAGAGAGGTTGCAAACAAGGAGAATACTTATAGTTAATAACAGGAAGAGGCAGCTGAAGTTTCTGGGACACATAATGAGGAAAAAGGGATGGAGAATCTGATACCCACGGGTTGAATAGTGGGAAAGCGAGACAAGGGAAAACAACGCGTGACATACGGACTTAAGCAAGTGGATGACATAACGTAGCCTGGGGAAGGAAGAAGCGGGAAGGAACTTGTTGAGAGCTGCAAGGAATGGAGTGGGTAGAGAGCCATGATCGTCTACGTCCTGAAAGGACATGGCACATAAAAAGAAAGTTAGGCGAGAGCAGGAAGTTCTACTCAACGACATCTTTTGTGATTCTTTTCACGGCTCTTTTTCTTTTATCTTCCATTTTTCTTCTCCGGTCGTATTACGTCATTCCAGTTTAGGCTCGCCTTGTTTGCTACATTTTCCTTCTTTTCATTAACTCAACTTTTTTTTTACGTACTTATTTATGCTTTTTTTTATTATTATTAATATTCTTACGCTGTAAACATGGTAGAATAAATCTGCAACAAAGATTATGTATCACTATGCGTGCATTTATTTCCTATTGCCTATTTAAAAGTCGGTGATATCCACAATCAAGAAATATATCTAGATACTTATCTACCTGCTTTTATTGAAGTCCTTCTGCTTTTCCCCGTTAACATCTGCCAGTTAACCAGTATATCGATTCATTTCTGTGTTTATTAATCTGTTAACATCTCTCAATCTATAAGTAAATCTCGAAGAAGAATACGAAATCGACACGACCAGGCTGCTCACTCAAAATTATTACATTCACAGAAGTAAATAATCTATCTATCTATCTATCTATCTATCTATCTAATTTCAGTCTGTTCATATCCAACTTCAGTCTATTCATATCTAGAGTCTGTTCATATATATATATATATATATATATATATATAAGTGAACATAGAAGTTAACACTTAGAGGCGACAGTCTGTTTCATGCTAGATGCAATCGTCAGGCCATATATATATATATATATATATATATATCCGAGCGTAATGAGAACGAAAATAATATATAAATTCTAATGTTCACAGCATTAATTCAAAAGAGGGGTCAATACTGATAATAATTAATAATTATTTATTATAATTTTTTCATATGGACAAAAACAATTTACTCTCTACAAAGATACAACTTCGTTTCAGTGCATTGAGTTGCACCTCGACTGGTGAGAACCAAAATACTTATGGACAATTCTGTTTGTAAGCAGACCGCATGTGAGACGCCATTTCCTTTTTTTCCATTTGTTTAACAAAAATACATAAAGGCAAAAAAGGTGACGGAATGAAAAAATAATGGTTGTCGATAGCAGTTTGGTGAAGAATGGTTGAGGTGTTAAAATAATGGCTCGACCTGACAAAATCCTTTTCGACAACAAGGGTTTAGGTACAGCATTTGCAAGCCTTCTAAGAGTGACGGGTTGAATGAGGAAAGGTGATAATAGTAATACGATGAAAGAGGAAGGAAGGAAGGAAAGAAAATTCAAACCATAGTGTTAGTAGTAATTGGAAATGTTTTTTTTTTTGTTTTTGTTTTTTTGGTTAATTTAAAAACTAAGCCAGAACTGAATTACATATATTTAGTTTGGAGTTATCACTATTAGTTTTATAATCAATAAAAGTGTTTTGTAAATTAATAAATTAGGAAATGGAGATTTATTCTTGTTGTGTTAAATACATAAGTTATTCGGGTTTAAAAAAAAACAATAAGTTGTAATTTAGAAATTAAGATATAAGTACAAAGGTATATAAAAGTATGGGATATTAATATAAATTTTATAGGCAAATTTTAACCTATTGTCGGACTGTATAACGTGTAGATGAAGTATGGGTGTAAAACAATTTATCTGAAAGTATTACTAGTATTATATATGTGCAAATATATTTTATAAATCATAATCTAGAAAGGTAATTAAGAGGGTAGAAAGTATATCAAAGGAGGTGAGTTATAATTGTAAACGTTTAGAGGTATGGATTGAAAAGTTTAGCAAGATTTTAATGTTAGATCTTTAACATGCCTCCAAAAAACGGTGGTTTCATATCTTTGATTTAATAATTAGGTGTTGTTCAAAAGTTCAGTAGTATATATTTTTCCTACTAACATAAAAAAACAAGGTTCGTTCAAAGATTTGCAAGTTCTGACTTGTTTTAGGATTGTCCATTTAACCTTAGGTGTTTTTCTTCCTCTCTCAGTTTCCAAATATATTTAAAAAGTAATGTCATATTGCGCGCGCTTGCATTTGTAAAGGAAGATATGTGATTGTAATATTGATCCTTAAATGGTCTTTAAATTGATCCCACATACTATTTAATATCCATGGGAGTCTCATTTGATGAGATATAACACATATATACAATAGATTTCGTTAAGCACCTGTTTGATAATGGATATTGATCAGGGATTCTGCAATTACATAGCTCTGTTACTTGGGGTATATTAGAATTTCTGTTTGTTGTGTTTATTCTAGTTATGAAGTTTCAGTATTCTATTGTGTGATTTAATAATTTTATCTCGATTCCTAGAACAACTATAACTAATTTTAAGGGTATTGTGGTTGAGGATTTGACTTAATTTACTCTTCATAGGAAAGTGTTTGTTAATTAGATTAAAAAATTTGTGTCCCTATTTGGTACGGATTAATTTGTTGAAGGGAGGCGTACACCAAATTATCCTCTTTCTTCTACTGTTTTTTTTTTTTAGAGTAACTATAATTTTCCCTAAATTTAATTTCGGAAGATCTGTAGCCACTGTCGATAAGGATTTTGTTATAAAGAATTTTTTGTTTATCGAATATTTCTTTGTTAGAAGAGTGCTTGTTGATACGGCGTTCAACGGATGATGGGGTATGCTTAATAACTGGCGCTGGGTGATTGGAATTGGGATTTATATAAATGGGGTTAGCGTTATTTTTCAAGAAAGGTTGGAAATTAGTAAGGGCTAAGTTTAAGGTTACATCTAAGAAATCCACTTGTTTTATGTTAGAATTAATTTTAACCTTAAGGTGT